TTGTCTCCCAGCCTATGTGCTGGAAGGGATTGGCATCTGCCCCCAGAAGCCTGTACATGGACATGGTGGCTGTTCGAAGGAAGTGCTTGATTCTGGGTGATTTCTTGTTCTCTTCCCCCTCAGTCTGCAAATGGCACCAACTCACAGGAAAAGGCTGGTGTCTAACACATATACTTCAGAAAGTTCTAAGAAGTATGTTTGCTCTTTGGTGCTGATGGTGGAGATGGCTAATTTCTATGTCAAAGGCAAAGAGTAATCACTGTCACATTACCTTCTTTCAAAACACACAGCTTGAAAGATCCTACTGGCTCTAACTCTTATAAGACTTAGGTTCTGGGGCATACAATGGGAAACACTAAAATACCAGTGCCCTTTCTAAACCAAGCCTATCTGTCTGGTACCCACTCTCCTTTCTTGTCGCATGCCCTGCGCTCAGTGGTGACCTTGCTCCGCACACTGTCAGTGAAACTTCTGCACCACCCTATGCCCAGACAGGCTACAAGAGATAATAAGGCCCACTGTAAAGAGACTTCTTGCACATCTTTACCTCCTTCAAATTACATCTGCTGGACATATTAGTGAGAGCATGCAGCTAGCTACCTGCAAGAGGAGCTGCATATGTCCACCACACTAGGTAAACTCCTGACCCTGACCCTCAGGAGGGAGAGCATGTTAGATGAGACGACTATCTCATCCAGGACTCACAACCAACAGCGTCCCCTTATCTGAAGGTCTGAATCAGAAAACAGCTATGTAGAACAGCATTTTAACCATATTCAGGCCATCGGGTTCTAGTTCGGAGCACTGGAAGCATAAAGTGTAAGCCAGAAAAATTAAGATTGGGGCAATCAGCACTTTATGTGGAATTAATAACAGTATAGGGTGCCTATTTCATTCAAAGGAGTTCTAATAAAAGAATTTCCTCTCTGATATTTTTCTCTTCTCTCTTACCTTGCCTTCAAATCCATTAGGCCATACAAATTAACTAGCTGGATCACTGTCTTTAAAGTATTCACTGAGCCCCCTACTCATGTTTTCCTCCATCCTGAAAGGATTTATCTCTTCATTTTGTTGTGCTTACTGTAGATAGGAATAGAGAGGGACACTGTCAAAGTCTTGTGTGACTGGCTAAATAATTCATTATTGTGACTGTAAAAAAGTTAAAGTAAGCATTAACTTAGACAACATAATTTGACATCAAAATATGCAGAATTCGCAATCATTTTAGATGAATTTTCACTTAATTATGTTAAAAAGGTTAACAAGAGCAAAATAAACGATAGATAATAGGAGACAAGGAGGCAAATGTCTGGTAAAAGGGAAAGGTACCAGTAAGTAGACGAACAGAGGAGAATGAATGAGGATGCGTTATGTACCTGTGTTAACTCCTCACAATGAATGCAATTATTATGTACTCTAAACACATACCAATAAATACAAAAATTGTAAAAATTAATCATTTCTATTAACAGGCTATAATGGCCAATGAATTGATTGCAATAAGCAATTTCATGTGATTTCATCATCCCTATACTGTACACAGTCCATTGTGGAAGTGATGGTTAATATATTATTCATTATGATTTGTTTTTTTATCTTTGATTTGTTTCATTTTTCTTTTACAATACCGAAAAACCAGCAAGGCCCCAGGCACACCTGGAAGATCCCTCCCTCTGTGCTACACCCAAGTTCCTATTTACTCTTTTGCTTATCAAAGTTAGCATTTCCCACAAACAAAGGCCAACCTGGCCATGGCAGCTCTCCAGAGGCAGAGCAGCTGCTGGCTGCCACTCTCCAGTGAGTAGAAATCACGGTTCCCAAAGGGCTAGTGAGATGATAAGGAGGAAAATAAAGCTCTATACAGTTGTGGCCCACTTTCCTCAGGGTGGAGGAAGCTACAGTGCATCATCATGTGAATAGCACAGTCTGCATGCTAGTGCTGCTGGGGACGAGATGTCCTCTCAAGAGACACACAATCTCCCTCAGCCAGGATGTGGATGCTGACTACAACAAAGGCTTTCTGTGCAGCCTGGGACAGTTGGCTGGGAAGGTTTATTTGCACAGATTTTGGGACATCATCGGAGGGGACAAAGACACGACCAACAACAGTTCCTTCAAATTTGTGACTAAAAGGTATGTGTCCTTGCTGAGGTCCACAGATGAAAGGGCTGTACAAGATGGTGAAGTAAATCTTTGAAGTGAACAGTTGGTACTCGAAATACTTTCTAGTGCTTGTCATTATTGTCTTTAAGTCCCATCTCTCTGAATAGTAAAACAGTGACTCAGGCTCTCAGTTCCTCTGTCAGAAAGTAGCTCTGAGTTGTTCTGAAGTAATTACTCATAAGGAGTTGGTGTATGCTCATGGTTTGGTAGTGGAGATGCCTTGATTATCCAGCATGTGGTGACCAGTGAAGTGGAGCAGCCATTTCACAGGGAAGGGTTAAGAAAGCCCCAGCTCCACATCAGGTTCCCGATGACCTAGCAGTGAGGACCCTGAGAAGGGACCAGGCCTTTTTCCACAAAGTGTCTATTTCAATCAGATGTGCTATGGAGACACCTAGGAAATAATGATTATGACCAATGAAGTCAGTGTGCACCAAGTGTTTCCTGACACCAGGCACTGTCCAGAGTGTTTCCATACAAAATCCCATGGCGTGCCTTTGTTTGTTTGCTTCAGCTGAAGGGAAAGCAAAAATATTTCACTTTAAAATCAATTGAAACAAGGGACTGACAGTCTATTAGCATTTCTAATGACATGACACCAAACCAAAATGAAAAACGGAGGTGTTTGAAGAGAGCTATCTCAGATGTGAGCATATGTAAGGTAGCCTGAAGCTGAGTCTGGGAGCTGTTAGTTACCCACCCCTTCCTCTCTCTGTTGCACATGCTCAGCTGTCAGTGAAATTCCACCTCCTCACTTAAACCCTCAGAACTCAGATACTTCATCACTTGTTTCCAGCTAGTATAGGCTGGATCACAATGGATGTTAACCCAGTAGCAGTCCTAGTTCAATAACAAGGAGCTCTCAAAGCGGATTTGCATTTTAATCTCCACTGCTTATTATCTGCTCATAGCTTGTCTCTACAACATGTGCATTTCTAAACCAAACAGCTGAACAGGATAGACAGGAAGAGGCTCATCATTCCACTTGTAAAAGAAAATAATGAGACAGAAACACTGAGTCATGAGCATTAGCTGAGGAAGAGGTGCAACAGCTGTGCCACCTGTCCTGCAGCGAGGGCCCTGCCTACAGACCGCAGGCTCCAGCCCTCAGCATGTTCCCTCCTCCTTCCAGCTTGGGCAGAAGGGAAAAGCCGCAGAAAGTGCACAGTTATGCTCTGCTTCATGGCTCTTAGCTCCTCCACCTGCATGCAGCAGATGAAGGAATTCTAGAAACAAGAGAAATTGCAGCAAATCAGATGGTGCCTCGCTCAACACCAGGTCAACTGATAGTTTGGTAATAGGAGGAGACATTAGGGATGAAGGTATAAAGCCACCCAGGGTCCCAAATACTGTGACTGCATGTATAAACGCCGCCCTTTTAGCTAAGCCCAGTGATCACTTTACCACCCCAGGCAGTGCTTCTGGGAGTCTGCATGAAGTTCACAGCAACCTCATATGAAAACTGTTATCACCACCTCCTTTCAAATGAGGAAATTCAGGAAGAGAAAAATGTGAATAAATGTTAACTTAGACTTGGTATTAGCTGGCTACGCTCATCTGTACACCTTATAGGTTATGCCTGAAACTCTGGACCAGTGAGCTATCCCACATGCATCTATGTATACAGGTGTGTGAGAGAAAATTCACACTGTGCCCACATTTTAAAGAATGTAGATAGTATGTGAATATTCATAAAATATGGAATCTCTACAGGTATACATTTTAGGATATATACTTGCTTCAAACATGAATGTGTAGACTGCAGCCCAAATCCATCAGTTTATGTTGATAAACAGACTCCCAAACAACCCAAGGGATACCTCCTTATTTTCTGCCTTTTACAGGAAGACACTGTTTAGATTTTGGGTTGATGATATTTCTAAGTCAGAAATCCAAACTTTAGTACATGCCCTGGAACATTAGTTCAAACTTAAAGATGCAAAGACTTTGATAGGACTGTGATGTGAAGTCCAGTGCAGGACAGATAAATAGGAGTTTCTAGCAATTGTCCATGACCTAATTCTCAAGTTGCCATGAATCATCTTAAGAAATGTGAATTTTAACTTGCAGCAAAGGTGATTTCCATTAGCAATGAGTGATTTGTAAGTGGGAACCTGGGGTGAAGCCCTGAGCTTCCATACAGTGAGCCCACAGCCGACATTGGGTCTGGTCAGGGTGGTGCAGCATTGCCAGATGCTCAGCTTGCCCTTTGCTGCTGTGGCCCTGCTTCTCCTTGCAGGAGCCCTCTCTGACCCTCTAGTCCAGGCTGATCTCTCCCAGGATGGGCCCTGGTGTTATCCCAAATGGCTATTTGCTTTCCATTTGTCTTCCCTCAAATGTAAGTCCAATTTGGGAAAGGAGGGGTTTTGCTGATTGTTGTATCCCAGTGCCCACAAGAGTAATTACAAAATCCTCTGAGCACAATAATTATTGAACAAAGAGGTGAAGAAATAAAGATCCGGTAATAGAAATGGAGAGAAATGAGCAGGAAAGGCATGATCTTCAATTCTAGCGTGAATTTTCACTTTGTATTAGGACATGCTAATGGTACAGAATGTTTGATAACATCTGACCACTGACTGAATGATGAGAGTTTTGAGCTGTAATAGACATTTGTCCATTTCTTGCTGGGTAACTGAGCACATTTCTGACAACCACAGTATAGGACTTGGTGTGAAAACATAAGTGTTTGAGCAATACTTTCCAAACTCTTAAACTGGATATTTGCAGGCTGGATCTCTCTCTGCCTTACTGAGATTCTACAAAGGGGTGTAAGCATCTAGCCCTCTTGTTTGGGGGTGCTCTTCTGAGTTCTTTGCTCTTCTCTTGTCCAGGCCATGACTGTGAATTGCTCCCTGTGGCAGGACAACAGTGTGTCTGTCAAGCGTTTTGCATTTGCCAAATTCTCTGAGGTTGCAGAGCACTGCTTTCTTCTGTTTGCCCTGGTCCTGCTGATGTTCTTAGCTTCGCTAACAGGCAATGCTCTCATAGCCCTGGCCATCCGCACCAACCCCATCCTGCACACCCCCATGTACTTCTTCCTGGCCAACCTGTCTCTCCTGGAGATTGGCTACACATCCTCAGTGGTGCCGCAGATGCTGCAGAGCCTCGTGAGTGAGGCCCCAGCCATCTCTAGGGAGGGCTGCGCCACGCAGATGTTTTTCTTCACATTCTTTGCCATCAGTGAGTGCTGCCTGTTGGCAGCCATGGCTTTCGACCGCTACATGGCCATCTGCTCCCCGCTTCACTATGCAACACGCATGAGCCATGGGGTGTGCGCCCGCTTGGCCGCGGTTTCCTGGGGAGTAGGCTGCACAGTGGGCCTGGGCCAGAGCAATTATATTTTCTCCTTGGACTTCTGTGGCCCCTGTGAGATAGACCACTTCTTCTGCGACCTCCCCCCAATCCTGGCACTAGCCTGCGGGGACACATCTCGCAACGAGGCTGCAGTCTTCGTGGTGGCGGTCTTCTGCATCTCCAGCCCATTTTTACTCATCATTGCTTCCTATGGCAGGATTCTGGCTTCAGTGCTGGCCATGCCCTCTCCTGAGGGTCGTCATAAAGCCCTCTCCACCTGTTCCTCCCACCTACTTGTGGTGACCCTCTTCTACGGCTCTGGCTCGGTCACCTACCTAAGGCCCAAGACCAGTCACTCTCCAGGAGTGGATAAACTGCTGGCCCTCTTCTACACGGTGGTGACTTCCATGCTCAACCCCATCATCTATAGTTTACGAAACAAAGAAGTGAAGGCAGCTCTCCGGAGAACCTTGGGAAACAAGAGGGTTTTGACCGAGGGTTAGGCCCCGAGGACCATGCAGCTCTGTGCCTTGGAAGAGATGCACAGCCAGAGTGCAAGCAAATAGCCAAAAGTCAGGCCATCTGCCCTATTGTCAGAGACATCTTGTGAAACCAATCCTGTCCGTTTGAAGTCTCAGGACTCAGAACTTCTTTCTGATTGCAAATTCTTCAAGCAAGTTGGCTGCTCCTAGCAATACTAGACATGTTTTTTAAAGCATTTTAGTCTGTGCTGATCATACAAATCTCGCAATTTGTGTCCCAGAAGTTTGGTGATTTCTCACTACACATCTGCAAATATTTCCTCAATCCCAGACCCTCTACCAGGCTTCTCCACCATACAACTTCCTCTGGAGTCAGATGACTGCATATCTTTGTGCCAGTCCTCAGTGGCTCTTAGTCACCTTATAATTCACAGTGCATAATTTTTTTTCCATGAAAGTGTTTTAAAACTCTTCAGTTGTAATTATTAACCCAATATGCAGTCACAACATGTTCTGTGACTTGAGTATGTCAGGCAAATATGGAAATAGTCCAAAAAGCAAACTTAAATTTCAGAGTTATTTGCTACCAAATATTTGTAGAAAAATACAGAAGTATTTGTCAAAAATATTTAAAGTGTTTTTATAGAGATGTAAATAATATTAAAATTCAAGATAGTAGAAGAAAACCAATTAAGAAATAATGAACATAAACCATTTTAACATTTTTAATTAATACACAAATTTCCATGGTGCAGATGAATCCTGATTCATTACACTTGAAGAGTGTTGAAAAAGCTTTCCTTGAGAGAGATGAACCTGATTATACCATAATGTGGCAGCCACAGGCATCTATCAAGGCTTTACCTGCAACTGGAACATCTAGTTTTCAGAGAACTGTTGTGCAAACCTCTGATTGATGAAGAACTAACCACTACTCACACAATGTGACAGATAGGGGAAAACCGTGACTGCCACCATGAGTTAAATTTACTTTCCAAATACATGATTTAGTAGAATTTGTTGTTTCTACAGCCAGGGGGAAATACTTATGCTTGTCAATAAATTGGTGTGTATTTTGCCAGCTATCCCTCTATTACTGGAAATTGTCCAATCTGTGTAAACCAAATGCTTTGTGTTTTTTACACGTGTGAATAATAATTTAAAATGACATAATCAGAACACGCAAAAGTTGCTGACAATTGTGCTAGAGCTATGGTGGGACTATTTCATGGAAACATCACAGATTGTTATAGTTTACTCCCACATGTTCCCAGGCACCTTATACATTTACAGGTGGTCTTTTCAACCATGAATGGACTGTGGGGTCACTACAGGTAAGTGTACTGTTAAGGGGCAGTTGAAGAGGCAGGGCACCAGGCGTGTGCCAGAAACAGTATATCTCCCGCTCAGCTGGTGCCTTGCATCTCTGTTTGTTGAGCACCATGATGTGAGCAGGTTTCCTCCGCCAGGCCCCGCGGACGTACTGTTTCTTCTTTAGAGCCCGCTGACCATGGACTGAAATGTGAGTCAAAATAGGATGATCCTTGAAGATTTTTATATCTGGTGTCATATTCCAGCAACAAGAAAGTGACTAAAGTAGAGATGATAATTTATGCACACTTACCTAGGGAGAAATAAATGACTTATTAAAAATTAAAGTGAGTAACTTGTTTGTATGATCTTTTTTATAAAATATTACTATGTTGAAAGGATCAAAATAAAATGTTAACAGAAATTTCCCTAGGAAATTGGTGACATTTTTATCTCTGGTTTTAAGGTTTCTTTAACAAGTAGGTAGTTTATCATATTAAAAATAATATATTTTTCCGTTGAATTTTTCTTAAAACAATGCATGCTTTTCAGAACAATTTACAAAGACATGGAATGTAAGAGTTAGTTTTGGTTCCATTATATTCTCAAAACAAGCAATAACCTGTATAAAATTTAATTTAATTATTTCAATCTTTTTATTTCTGTAACTCACAATAATTTCCATAACATATTATGTCAGTAGTACCATGTTTTCTGAGCAGTGGAACTTGAAAATATCAACAAGGCTATATTTTTAGATCATCAATGTAAATACAGTTATTTTCAATATTTTCCTTTCTTCTATATTCCTGAAATGGAGACATGTCTCACAGATTTGATTCTCAACATCTGTGCTGTTTTATTTCAAAGACCATCTGACATACATTCACTTAGTAGCAGCAGGAGCCACAACCAAAAAGCAATGTGAGGACCACTTGCTTAGATATGGTGCCAGCTCATTGAAGGTGTCTCCAAGGTGACCTCTAGCTGTGATCATCCTCCTCTGTTCTGCTGGAGACCAAGCAGCCAACGGCAGCCCATTCCATCAACAAAGAAGGGCAAGAGCACAAGCATTCAGTGCAGGCAGCTGGCTCCAGGACCCAGCACTCTGACTCCATCCCCTGCCTCTGTTCTAGGTCTCTGAATCTCTTTCCTGAAGCAGTGAATCAAAAGAAGAACCCAGCATACCCGGGTAATGTGTTTGCTAGGAGGCTTCAGCCCTAGTATTTAGATGCCACCAACTTGTGAGAGGTTTTAGCTGATTTTATTTTTCATATTTAAAATGCTTTGGGTTTAGTAACTATGTGGTCTCCACATAATAACTTATTTTAGTACAAATAAGTTTATTGGTACAAATCAGGTGTATACTTAATGATCACATGCTTTTTAGGGAATTTGTACTTGTCCATGATATACCTTAATTTCTTTTCTTTTTCTCCCACTCCTATCCCTTTCCTTCAAACCCCTTTCCCTCCTGATTTGCAAATGTTTGTTTTAATTTTATCCTTCTTTTCTCATTTTTCTTTCCTTTCCCCTTCCCCTCCCTTGTAAACAGTTTCTTCTCAATTTCCAATATCAATTTTATATTTTCATTCTTACTTATGTTTTCAGTTTCTCACACCAGAGAGATAATATGATATTTACATGTGTGTGTCCAATTTACTTCACTAATAAATATGGTCTTAAGGTCCATCCATTTAGTCATAAATGCCACAATTTTATCCTTCATTATGGCAGAGTAGTACTTCATTATATAAAAAGTCACATCACTTTTATCCATTCATGGGTGGATGGGCATCCAGGTTAGTTCTTGATTTGACTGTTATAGACTATGCTGCTATAAACATGGGTGTGCATGTTTCATTGTAGTGTGATGCTTTGAATTTCTCCAGGAAGATATCCAGAGGGAAAATAGTTGGGTCAAATGGGATCTCTACTTTTTAAAGAAATCTGCACACTGCTTTACACAGTGGTTGCAACAAGTTACACTCATATTGCCAGTGGAGAAAGGATCCATTTTCCCCACAGGTATCTCCTCATGTGTAACTGGTTGATTTCCTTCTAATGGCTTTTCTTCCTAGAGTGAGATGGAATCTCAACATTGCCTTAGTTGGCATTTATCAAATGACCAGTGATGCTGAACATTTTTTCATATATTTATTTGTGATTTATACTTCTTGATCCAAGACATGTCAGTTCATCTCAGATCCCAATTTTTGGATTGGGTTTTTGAAATTGGATGTCTGTTTTTTATGTTTTCTAGATGTTATTGCTTTGTCTGATGAACAGCTGGAAAAATGTTTCCCACTCTATGGGTTGTCTTTTCACTTTCTTTGTGATTTCTTTTGATGTGAAAAGTCTTTTTAATAAGACGAGATCACAGATGTGGATTCTTTGTCATAATTCCCATGTGATCAGGTTTAATTCATAAAACTTTACGCACACCTATAGCTTCAAGGGTTCTACCTATTGTCTCTTCCAGTAGATCTAGTGTTTCTGTTTTAATATTTATATTTTGATACATTTTTATTTTAGTTTAGTTCATGGTGATAGACACAGACCGGATTTTAGTTTTTAGCAGGAAAAAAGCCCATTTCTCCAGCACCATTTATTAAACAGGCTTATCTTTCTTCCAGTAAATGTGTTTGGTTCCTTTGTCAAAGATCAGGAGGATGAATGCATTTGAAGTTGTTTCTGCATCTTCTAATAGGTTCCATTGGTCCTCATTTTTTTCACTACCATGCTGCTTTTTTCAGGGTAGCTTTGAGTAATAATTTAATGTCAGGGAGTTTTATGTCTCCTGCCTTGCCTTCATTGCCCAGAATTACTTTTGCTATTATAGGTCTTTTAATTTTCCTGTTCTGTGAGGTATTCTAATAATATTTTGATTTGGACTGCATTCAATCTGTACAGCAGTTTTAGAATATGGTTATTTTCATTATGTTTGTTGTTCCTACCCAACAGCAAGGAATATCTTTCCATTTTCTGGTATCTTCTTCAATCTTATTCAGAGCACTATAGTTTTCAATATAAAGATCCTTTGCCTCCTTGGTTAGATTCCTAAGGGTTTCAATTATTTTAGATGCTATTGTGAAGGGTGTTATTTTGTTTGTTGTTTCCCTACAGAAATTCTATTAAGTTTTTAGCATTGACTGTGTATCCAGCTTTTTGACTGAATCTGGTACTGAAATCTAAATGTCTTTTGGTGCAGTTTTGGGCATGTTCTAGGTAGAAGTAGTGTATCACCTGCAAATAATGATAATTTAATTTATTCTCTTCATTTCTGGATTTCTTTTATTTCTTTTTTATGTCTAAATGTTCTGGTTAATGTTTCCAGAACTGAACTGAGCAGAAATGGTGACATCTACAAGTAGACATTCTTGTATTGAGAGTGATTTCAGTTGTTGACCAGTTAGTATGATGCCAGTCTATTTCTTTTGATTGGTGAATTGAGATCATGTACACTGATAGTTTAGCTGACATGTATTAGTTTATCCTCCTCATGTTATTTTCTATTGTTAGTTCCTTGTATTTCCATTCTGTTTCATTTCTTTCCTTGCCTGATGGATTTTTTTTCTGTTTGTGTTCTTGAGTATGTGTACATCATTAACTCTCTATAAAGTATTGGAATACACTGTAGAACTTGCTTGGTAGTTATGAATTCTTGAGGTTTTCTTTTTCATGGAAGTACCTATTTTTCCATTCATTCTGAGAAATAGTTTTGCAGGGGACATCAATGTGGCTTGGAAGTTATTTTTTTTTTTTGCTCAACTTGGAAAACTTCCCTCCAAACTCTCCTTGACCTAAGGCTTTGTGTGAGAAGTCAGCTGTCATTCCCAGAGACTTTGATTTATAGGTGATTTGTTTTTTTTCTGTAAGAGCTTTTAATATTCTGTACTTGGCCTGAACTTCTGAAACGTTAACTATTGTGTGCATTGGTATAGCTTAGTCATGGCTCCTAGGAGTTCTGTGTGCCTCACTTACCTGTGTGTCAGATTCTTATTTCATATTTGGGAAATGTTCTGCCTTTAGTTCTGTGAACACTTTCTTTTATGTCCTCTGTGCTGCTTCCTGCTTTCTCATTGACTCCAATCAATTTATATTATTAATTTATATTATTTTTCTTTGCATCATCTTGCAGCTGTTGGAATGTTATTTCAGGTCCCTATTTTTAAGAGATCTTCTTTTTCATGATTCCTACCCACAATCCTGTCTTCCAGATCTGAAATTCTGTCTTCACTTTTGTTCATGCAGGTTTGCAAACTTTCCCTGAAATTTTTAACTTCCTGAATATCTGAACCTGTTTCATGGATTCTATTTCTTTCCTATATTAGGCATTTACGGTTTCTGTCATTTACATCTATTTTTTAAATCTGTGTCTACTCTAGTTGTGCTGTGTAAGCCCTTTGGTAAGGTCATAATTTTATTTTTAATCTGGAGATAATTTCTGATCTGATTTTCTCTACAGTCTTATGCACCAGCTTTTGAAATTCTGCTCCTATCATTTCAGAAATTTTAGTTAGGTATCCTCCGTTTTTCTCTACCTTATTGTCCCTTGGGTTTGTCATGGGTAGGCTGGCAGCCTGGTGTTGCATTTTGTTTCTGTGTCTTGTAATTTTCTATTTTTGAATTTCATTTTGTTTTTTGAGTTGATAGCTATAAATGTCTTATGTTAGATAGCTTTATCACTAGTGTCAAGGCCTCCGCAGGAGATGTCTGTTTTTCGGAGGTGTCTTATACGTGTAGGAAATTCTTGGGTTTTTTTGTGTTTGTCCAAAGATCCTACATTCCCAACTTATTAAGGGTGAGATGTTACCATCTGTTTGACTCAATAATCATTCCTTTGCTGCTGGGCTATACCGATGTTTATGACCACAGACAATCACAGCATTCCTATACGAGGGAGAATAACTGATTACAAAGGTGTCATATCCTGGAAAAAGTAGTACAACTAGCAGCAACAATAGCATAAAATAATTTTATAAATTGACAAATAATGGTAACAATTGATTTGGTCTTTTTAACACAGGGGCAAGATCAATAGTTATATAACAAAATTCAACATAAATCAGGAACTTGTGTGCAAAGGTTTTTCCTTGATAGAGTAATTTTAGCCTGTGGTGGAGATATTCAAGAAGTATAGGGCACAAAACAGAGATAAATGCAGAGAAATATAGTAGAAACAAGGCTGGAGAACCTGTGATGATTTGGTATACTTTGGGAAACTAAAGAAGAGGACAGGAGAGAAAGAGTGAAGAAGTAAGTTAAAGATTATCAATGCAAATCATGAAGAATAGAGGCAATATTCACTCACATGAAACTATTTTATATCCCAGAGAGATAGTTTAGGAAAGGGAGAAAGATGAGTAGGATAGAACAAAAATAAAGGTAAAAACCTATAGACAGAAACAGACCAACAAAAGTAAAACAAAAGAAATAAAGGAAAAATGAATGAAAGAAAGAAAGAGATCAAGAGAGGATATAGGCCACTACTTTGAAGACAGTAAGAGTCATTATGAGGCCCATTTCAGTTTGACTATTACCTTGTTTTGAAATCCTGTATTGTCTCCAGTGTTTCATTTTTATTGGTTTTGTTCAGTACGCTTTTGCTCAATTTTATTATACCTGATATGGGCAATTCTTTTAAAGATAGCAAGAGGCATTATGGTCACCATTTTTGATCACCTTGTATTTTGTTTTAACATCATGTCCTATGTCCATCTTTTGTTTTTACTGACTATTTTGTTTTGTCACATTTTGTTTTATTCTATTTTAAAAAGTAATAAGAACTGTTGGAGTAACAACCCAAAATATGTAATTACTATTGTAAAAAAGAGAG